GCAGTATTATACTGCGAATTACTTTGAAAAATTGTACACCCCAAGGTCGGACTTGCCTTATTTATAGGCGCTTCAATTTTATAAAAATTCATTCAACACTTAAACTTCAAACATACGTTTATTCTCTCTTCTCCTTATCAATCAATATTTTACAATGTCTGAAGTGCCAAAAATAAGGGTTTCACTGTATTGGGGGGTGAGATTGTGGTGGAGAATAACTCTGTGAGGTATAGCTCACCTCCACAGTGTCATGTTAAATTGCCGCTTAATATGGAGTACGATACATTGGTATTGGTATCGTTGCTACGTAAAAAAATGAGTGAGCGGAGGCGTTCGGTTAGCCTTAAAGTAACCGGTAGATTTCCTTATTCAGTGACTCCGCAGGGGTTTGCTTATTATTCTGAGTTTAACATCGAGGATGATGAAACTCTTAGAGATTTTTTGCGGATTCCGGATGAATACAGGGAATTTATTGTAATAAAATTATTGGAAATGTACGTCAAGGTGGAAGACGTTCCTAGTAATGAGGGTGTGCATAGCAGGGATAACCCCCAGTCATCGGGTGGTTATTCTGGAGCAGCGTTTGCCGGACAGATTGGAGATGAAAGAGCTTGCCTTGATTTAAACTTGTCACCACAGGCGAATGAGCAGCCAGAAAATAATGTTTCCACTTTATATAATCAATAAGACGACTGGTAAACTTCAATTTTACTACGTTTTAGCGATTTTTTTTTCATGTTTTAATTGGATTTGTATTAACACTCATATTTTTTATAGGGGGTACCGTCCTGATTTGAATTTTACAAGTTATGACCTCGCCCCTAGTTGGAATCTGCGTAGGTCTGCAGTATTGGACCACGGTGGTCCATCTGGGAGTTATCACCAACCTGAAAATATCCATCATGAAACGTCAAGACAATACGATTTGTAAGTAAAGTGATATAGCGATATCTAAAGTATTTTTCCTGAGTATTGGGTAACTTAGGTTTTTGTTCGTTTTGTGCAGTGAAAATGAGCTTCTTGAAGCTCCTGGCCTCACACAGTTGCCCATAGACGACGTTTTTACTCGTGATTTGGCAGATGCGCAGAGTCAGGAGGATGATAGTGATTGTGACAACAATGCGGATGAGTCTGGGGATGAGACACCCTTCCATGATGAGGGTGATGATGAGGAGGAGGAAATGAATGTTGAACCTGAGCTGACTAGGGAGCATGTTCCTCCACCTCCCGTTAGACCAAGAGTGTATGAGTCCCACGTGCCATTTCATGAGCGAAATATTCCCTACCTTGATAATTTGCCAAGCATGCCTAATGTTGATGCCCTAACAAGGGATGATGATGAATTACGGTCAGTGATGTGGGATGAATCTAGACCAGCTGTTCTTACAAAGGGCATGTATTTCCCCGATAAAGCTCGCCTAGTTAGGGCTGTAAAAATCTACAGTATAAGGGAGTGTCGTGAGATGACGGTAAGTGAGTCAACTACGGAGAAATACAAGGCTGTATGCCGTAGGTGGTTTATGGGTTGTCACTGGATGCTGCGTGCCACAAAGAAGAAATCAGGTTTGTGGAAAGTGGGTAAATTTATTAGCGAGCACAGATGTGAAATGGACACATTCAATGAGAATCACTTCAACTTGGATGTGGACTTGATTTCCCTTGTCTTGATTCCATTTTGGAAGTGTCCATTAGGTTCAAGATTAAAGAGTGTATTACAGCCGTCCACCAGGAGTATGGTTGTACTATAACCAAAAGAAAGGCATATCTCGGTCGCAAACGTGCCTTTGAACTTATTTATGGCGACTGGGATAAGTCTTTTTCAAATTTGCCCAGGTACATGGCTGCACTGCAACACTTTAACCCCGGGACTGTTGTTGAATGGAGGAGTGAGCGAAGTCCGGACAGACCGGAATATATATTCAACTATGTATTTTGGTCATTTAAACCAGCAATATGACCCTCAAATGTGGACATTGCATGCTGATGGCGGCAGACGATGGGGAGCCCTCACTACAAACGTGTCGGAGTCATTCAACGGCTTGTTGAAGTCTGCCCGTGGACTGCCTGTCACTGCCATGGTCCGCATGACTTTCAAACAGAGTGCAAAGAGGTTTCTTGAAAGGCATGCAGCTGCATCGTCATTGATGGACAGGGGTGTTGAATTTATGCCAATACCCATGACAAGATTTGAAAGGTACAGGAGGCGGGCACAGTGGCATTCATTTCTTCAGTATGATCATGAACGGGGTGTTTTTGAAGTTAAGACCGCTATCAACGGAAACCGTGGGAATAATCTACAGACGGTGAATGAAAATAGAAGGTTATGTTCATGTGGGAAATGGACCATCTACCACATGCCGTGCCCACATGCATTGAAGTGCTTTCAACAAGTTGGATATGGGGCAACAAACTACATTGATAGGCAATACAGTGTTGCAGCATACGTAGACACGTATAGTGGGAAGTTGCATCCATTAGGTGCTGAGCATTATTGGCCGCCGGAACCTTTTAAGTTGGTATGTAACAAGGACTATTTGCGCAAGCTGAAAGTGCAAAAGAGAACGCGTATACGGAACCAAATGGATGTTGGTGAGTCTGTTTATGCGCGTAAATGTGGCATGTGCTCTCAAACTGGACATGACCGTCGTAAGTGTCCTTCAGGTGGTGGGCGTGGCGGTGGTAATCCTGGTGCAAGTTCGTCCAATGTACCCAACTATCAAGCATACCCCTAGTCATTTATTTTGAAAAAGCTGAGAAGCATGTGAAAACCCTGTTTCGTGTCAGGGTCATTTAATATGTTATTCATTGTATAATACTACGTTTTGTGGATTTGACATGTCCTCCTGAAAAAGCTGAGAAGCACGTGGAAACTCTGTTTTAAGTCATTGAAATTTAATATGTAATTCGCAGTATTATACTACGTTTTTGTTTGAAATCTTGACTATAAATAACGGTTGCATGGTACTTATATTCTTCGCTTAACAATAACCAAAGTTTCTCTATAAGAAATGTCTGCACAAAACGTTTATGTCCCAAGGTGCTACTGCGGAGAAAAATGCAGTTTGTTCAAATGGTATCCAGAAGGTGCACGCCGCTACTGGGCATGTAAGAACAAGCTCGAGGAGTTACCCGGCAAGCCTACATGTGACTTTGAGGTTTGGATGGACGAACCATGTAAGCAAAAGCGCTACAAAGAAAGAATTTATGAGCTTCATTGTTTATGTCATAGCCAAGCGGAGAGCGAGCGTCGAACCAATGAAGAACTTGAGGCATTGAAGGCCAAACTCAACGAGGCAGAAGAAGAGAAAAAAAACTTGGAAGAGCAACTCGAGTGGTTGGAGCGAATTGTAAGACACGATCGTGATTAAATAGTAGCTTATTTTTAATAAGCGTACTAGTGTATTTTCATGTTTCCATTGTCATGTGTTTGTAGCAGTTGTACTGTCATGTATCTTTAGATTTCCCGCTTTTGTGTTTGTGTTTCATTTTCTAATAAAATTCATGTTCAAATTATGTTTCTTGTTCAAATTCTGTTTCAATAAAAAATATGTCGAAATATGCAAGTCTAAAGCTGTCATGTGGAAATTTAAAATGTTATGTCGAAAACCATGTGAAAAACCCTGTTTCAATGTCAGAGTAAATTTAATATGT